TGACACAGCTCTGGACCGGACTGACCCGTGACAGATGACACAGCTCTGGACCGGACTGACTTGTGTTGTATGACCTATTTCTGTCCCAGACTGACCACTGCTGAATACTCTGGTTCTGCACTGGGCTATACCGACTTGACTGTGATGCATTGACCTGACCCATCTTGGCCAGGACCTGGAACCATGCGAGATCCGGGCCGGGCCAGGCACGGGTTCCTGTGTCGTACTCTGTGCCGTAGGTGCGATGGTCTCCTTGGGCTGGAAGCTGTTGTCCACAGAGGCGCAGATCCCAGTGCTGAACACAGAGGTACCGCACTCCTGCGACCACAAGGGGGCGCACGCCTGCAGACAGACACAGAGAGAGTCAGTCCCGGAACACGGCAGCAACAGGACCCACACGAGAGGTCATGAAGACGTTAGAGAGTTGGCGGCCCGCCTTTTCCGACAGTCCGGAAGAGGAGCTGCCACTCCGGGCCCGGGTGGGGCTCCTCTTTCCGAGCGGAAAGGGGGACATCCCTGTGAGGAGGACTGAGCCGAGCGGGAGACATGTTTCTAGCTACAGACCCTGTAATTAGGGCCGCCAGGCCGCCATTCCGATCCCCTTATTCCCAAGCCCGCAAGCTGGGAGCAGGGAGCAGCCACAGAGGGGAGTCACCAGCCACAGTCCCTCCACATCCAGCCCATTCTCTTCTCCCGGACCCGGATTCGTCCCGGTAAACACAGGCAGGCAGGACGTGACACATCCTGAGCCTGGCTGCCCAGATGGCGAGGAGGAGTGCGAGACTGGGGCTGTTTTGACAGCTGGCACTCACCACGAAGCCGTCCGGACGGCTGGGGCTCAGCGTCATGCCCAGGTGCGAGTTCCTCAGCTGTCTGGAGACGTTCTGCAGCGCCACCTCACCTGGGGCAGAGCGAGGAAGAGTGTTACTGGCAGTCAGGCCGATAAAGCTGTTTAAATCTGAATTTGAGTGAGAGAGCGGAGTGGGACAGAAAGGCAGAGGAGAGTGAGACAGAGAGAACTGGCTGCCCAGAGAGGACAAACTCAGTGACCACAGCCTGGCCATAGGAACTGGACAGAGACAGAGAAGACAGGCTCCGTGACCACAGCCTGGACACAGAAACTGGACACAGGCAGACCTGGCTGTCCAGAGAGGATAGAATCACTGACCAATCTGTCCACAGACACTGGACACAGGCAGACCTGGCTGTCCAGAGAGGACAGGCTCAGTGACCACAGCCTGGACACAGACACTGGACACAGGCAGACCTGGCTGTCCAGAGAGGACAGGCTGTGCTCCCACAGAGACAGAGTTTAACTTTCTGCTGCACAGTGAGAAACACTCTGGGATTAGACAAACATTCTTCCCTAAAATAACCAATCTAATCCCTGAGTTCCCACACCTGTCGGAACCAGAACAGCTCCCAGTCCTACTGGCAGAGGAAATGCAATAGAGCTGCAGCCCAGTGTGTGATCTCCTGTCACAGCCCGAGGAACAGAGGCAGCTTCTCAAATATGAATTATGCCATTATGTCACCACTGTAAATATTCTGCTAACTATTACTGCTTTGGCAAACCTGTACTTGAAGAATGCCAATAAGGCTATTTGAATTGGAGGTAAACAGAGGCACAGGGTGACAGGGAACGAGAGAAGGAGAAAGTGGCACAGAGACAAGTGTTTTTACCACTAAGACAGTCAACCTGTATAAAGTACTTTAGGCAAAACAATATTTCAACGCAGTGTTTTGTATGAGACACCCCCTTGCTCTTTTGTGGGACTTAAGAGACCAGTATTGCCCCCATACAACTATAGATCCATGGACAGTGCCCCTCACTGGCCGGTCTGTGTAAGTGCAGCACACAGGACAGTCTGCAGGTGATGTTCACTCACCTAGGTTCACTTTGGTGCAGTTTGAGTTCCTCTCCTGTCCCACGATGCACTTGTAGACATCCCCCTTCCTGTTGTTGGCCGGCCCATCCCAGGGGGCTCCCACCAGCATCCTGGAGCACAAAGAAAAGCACCTGATTGGCTGAAATCACCAGGCCATGCTAAATGCCGATTGGTCAGAAGCACAGAATCAGCATTTCTGATAGGCTGAGTGCTAAGACACAGCTCAAGGTGGCAGTTTGGAACGGAGGGCATGCCACCTGCACTTTGATTGGTTAGATCTGTGACCAGATCCCAGCTGTGTTGTCAGCGCGGAGTTCAGATTAAGTGACGGCACTGAGGCGGAGGCGCAGACTCACCACTTCTGTCCCTCCGCCTCGTGCTGCAGGACCGAGTAGCCGAACAGAGCGTCAGCTGGGCCGCTGAAGATCCGCGGCCTCTTGACATCGACGTTGAAGCACAGACACAGACCTGAGGGACACAGGAGGGACAGACAGGGTCTATACCAACACATTGAGACACAGGGTCTAAACCAACACATTGAGACATGGGGTCTTAACTAACAGAGGGAGGGACAGAGTCTTAACCAACAGATTGAGACACAGGGTCTAAACCAACACAGAGAGACACAGGGTCTAAACCAACAGAGAGAGACACAGGGTTTTAATCAACAGAGAGAGGGACAGGGTCTTAACAACCAGACGGAGACACAGGGTCTTAACCAACAGAGAGAGACACAGGGTCTAAACCAACAGAGAGAGACACAGTGTCTAAACCAACAGATTGAGACACAGGGTCTTCATCAACAGAGGGAGACACAGAGTCTTAACCAACAGAGGGAGACACAGGGTCTTCATCAAAAGAGGGAGACACAGGGTCTTCATCAACAGAGGGAGACACAGGGTCTTCATCAACAGAGGGAGACACAGGGTCTTCATCAACAGAAAGAGAGTCCTAACTAACAGAGAGAAAGAGACACTTGCTCTTAACTAACAGAGAGTGAGATATGGTCTTAGCCAACACAGGCAGAGAGAGGAGAGAGAAAGGATCTTAACCCGCTCAGAGAGAGAGCCAGGTTTCTTAACCAACCAGAAATAGACAGGATCTTAAAAAGAGAGTGCGACAGTGTCTTAAGCCACAGAGAAAGAGAGTGCGGCAGGGTCTTAACACAGAGTCATAGTACAGCACAGAGCCCAAGGAAAAGACGATTCACATTTGATCATCTGTGACACCAAGTATTTTAACATTGTGTATCATGTCCAAACCCACCAGCCCTTCACTTCCTGTCCCGCAGAGAGACGGGGGAGAAGGGGGGAGCAGGAGAGGGTGTGCACTGCTCTGGCTCTGTGCACAGTAGCTCTCTGTTTTTCCACACAGACCTGCCATTTATACTGAGGCCACAGAGGAACACGGAGAAGGGCAGCGATTTCTCAAGACAGCAGACAACAGCAAGAAACCAGGTAACACACACACACAGCAGAAACAACAGGTCCCAGCATCACAGACACCAGGTAACACACACACACAGCAGAAACAACAGGTCCCAGCAT